TGAAGAATAACGATAAAGTCTAACATGCTTGTAATTAGAGTCTTAGAAATAAAAAGGATATGATGGTTCGGAAACAACATTTGTAGAAATACTGGCTAAAAATGTTTCAGAGTTGCTAAAAGACATCAAACTGCAGAATCAAGACACTATGAACCTCATGGAGAAAAAAGTATAAAGAAAACCACTCCTGGGACCATCACAGTTAAGTTGCTAATAACCTAGACAAATAGAAAAATCTTAAAAGCATGCAGAAGGAAAAAAAAACCCACATGTTACCTTCAAAGAAACAACAATAAAGCTATTAACCTGCTTTTCAGCAGAAATTATGGGAATCAGAATATAATGAAATGGCATTAAAATGATAAAATATAAAAAAAATTTTCTACCTTCCCACCTAGAATTGTATACACATAAAAATATTTTTCAAAAAGGAAGGCAAAAATTAAGGCCTTTTTAGACAAACAAAAGCTGAGAGAATTTATCACAGAAAATCTTTACTACAAAAAATACCAAAGAGTTATTCAGGCTGAGGAAAATTATTCCAGATGGAACCATAAGCCTGAATAAAGTACTAAAGAGCACCAGAAAGGGTAAATATGTGGGCAATCTAAATGAATATACACTGGTTTATAAAAGACAAAAACAATAATTATATCTTGTAGAGATTTGAATATGAGAGTAGAATATATATAGGAGTAAAATATATGACAATAGTACAATAGATGAGGGAGATAAATGGAGTTAATCATACATACATATATAGTGATCAGATCAGGGTAATTAGCATATCAAACATATCAAACATTTATCCTTTCTTCCTATTGGGAACATTCAGTATCCTCCTTCTGGCTGTTTGAAACTATGTAGTACATTATTGTTAACTACAGTCATCCTACAGTAGTATAGAACAGCAGTCTCCAACCTTTTTGGCACCAGGGACCAGTTTCATGGAAGACAATTTTTCCACAGACTGGGGGGTGGGGGTGGGACAGACGGTTTCGGGATGATTAAAGCGCGTTACGTTTATTGTGCAGTCAAACCTCTCTGCTAATGATAACCTATATTTACAGCCCTTCCCCAGGCAGTTTAAACCATGGCAGCTTGCTTCATCAGAGCCGTTCATCACCGCCTCAGCTCCACCTCAGATCATCAGGCATTAGATTCTCATAAGGAGAGCCAACCTAAATCCCGCATGTGCAGTTTACAGGAGGGTGCATGCTCCTACGAGAATCTAATGCCACAGCTGATCTGACAGGAGGAGGAGCTTATGCGGTGATGAAAGTGATGGGGAGCAGCTGCAAATACAGATGAAGCTTCGCTTGTTCCCCTGTCACTCACCTCCTGTTGTGCAGCCCGGTTCCTAACAGGCCACCTACCAGGGGTTGGAGACTGCAGGTATGGAATACCAGAGCTTATTTCTCCTATCTAGCTGTAATTTTGTATCCTTTAACAAATCTCTCCCTATCCCTCCCTTCCGTTCACCCTTCCCATCCTCTGTTATTCTCTATCCTACTTTTTATTTCTGTGAGATCAACTTTATTTAGCTTCCATGTATGACTGAGAACATGTGGTGGTTAACTTTCTGTTCCTGGCTTATTCCATGTAACATAACGTCCTCCAGTTCCATCCATGTTGCCACGAATGACAGGATTTCATTCTTCTTTAATGGCCGAATAGTATAATATAGTGTATGCCATGAGTTTTAATCATGAATGGAAGTTAAATTTTATCAAGTGTGGGTTTTTTCCCCTACTGAAATGATTACATGATTTTTTTAATTCTGAAAATGTGATATATTAATTACATTGATTAAATTTTAAATGCTAAACCAATTTGTTTTCCTGAAACAAACCTAACTTGATTAAAATGAATTATCCTTATAGGTTATAATTCATTAAGATGAATTATAAACAGGTAATTATTTTTGTTGCTGGCCTCGAAAAACAAATTTGGAAGAGTTACCTTTTTTTTTATTCTCTGAAAAAATTAAAGATCCTCTTCCTTAAATGGTAGAAATTACCAATGAAGCTGTATGGGCTTAGGGTTTTCTTTGTGGAAAAGTTTTTATTTTAAGATTTGATTTCTTCAATAATTAATTAATTGTTTAGAGTTTGCTTATTCCCAGACCTGACTGTAATCTATCCAGTACAGATTTTCATTCATTCTAGAATAAAAGCAAGAACTGAAATTTGGTGTTTTAAGCTCTTTGATGTGTTTCTCAGTCTTGCCTTTGTAGTTGACAAGGTTCTGTCAGCATTTGCCTTGAATTTACCCTCACTTCTGATGCTACCTAAAGCCCAGCAGATAGTTAATTTCATTGTCAACAAGATGCTTGATAGCAACTAAAATGTCGGTCAGAACTCCAGAACATCTACACCAGCTGATGGCTCAGAGGAAGGGACCATTTGAGTGGCAGCCTCAGGGTTGTAGGAATTGCAAAATGGAATTTTTAAAAAAAGTTCTTAATAGTCCTCTTATGGGTGGACTCAAGTCCCCATGATATCCAAGCTACAGAAAGAGGCAGAGAGCTCACTTTGAGATGAGTGGCTGAAAAATGAGTAGTCTATAAGAGTAGCACCCTAATAAATGGTATTGCTGTTTAACCATACCCTCATAAGTCTAATTAATCTCCTCTCTATTTAGCATCTGATAGTTGGAACACTTCCGTGATTTCTCCTATTAATATATCTAGCAATATCTTAGGGAAGAAGTCAACACACAAGTTTCAAGATGGAGGACTATATTAGTTAGCTATCGCTGTATAATTACCCTAAAACTTAGTAGCTTAAAATAACATTTATTATTTTACAGTTTCTGTAGATCAGGAATCTAGGGGTGACTTAGCCAGTTCCTCTGTTTCAGGGTTGTAATCAAAGTGTTAGCTGGACCTGCAGCCCCTCTCAGAGGAGGCTGTCCTCACTTGTCATATAGTCTTCTTCATAAGACAGTTCAAACCATGGCAGCTAGCTTCATCAGAGCAAGCAAGCAGAAGGGCAAGAGAGAGAGTGCCGGAAAGATAGAAGTCACAGTCTTTGGTAACTAGTCTTGGAAGGGACATCCCATCATTTTTGCCAATTCTATTCATTAACAGCAAGTTACTAAATCCAGTTCAGACTTAACGAGGAGATTACACAAGGGTATGCGTATCAGGAAACTGGGATCACCGAGAGCCATTTGGGAAGCTGCCTACCACATGAACTAAATGTTTGACTTAGTTCTTGTTACCAGCCAGCTTAGAGACAATAAGATCCATACCTAATTCACAGCACCTGGTGTACAGTGGACAACCTAAACATTTTTATGTCAAGTGATCAAAATAATTTTCCTTTTAGTGCCCGTACTTAAGTAAGCATTATTCTAATTTCAAACACCTTTATGACAGCTTCATAAATTGTCCACATACTGTTGAATTTGATCTTCCTCTTAAGAGGGAAAATGTAAAGAACTAGGTAAGTTTGAATTTGTTCTGTTATGAAAGCAAGTAAATTCTTTAGCATTTGGCTAATATGCTCCAAGCCTTATCTCACATGTAAGATGAAGTCTCATCATCTTATCTGCCATTATCTGACTGTGAAACCATAAAGTAGTCATAACTTTCCCTTTTTTTTCACAAAATTTATAAATCTCAAAAATATTTTGAGTAGGGAATCATTTTGAGATGTAAGCACCCTATCAAATTTCACTATAAAGGGGTTAATTTCTGCCAGGACAGTCACAGAGGCCTGAATATGTTCCAAAATAGCTCAAGAGTTCTGGCCTGGTCCTGGATTTTCCTGTTTTAGCAATATTCCCAGGTCCATTCTTAAGGTTTAAGTCATTTTAGTTGGGTATGTGAGAGGTTATCCCTCAAATATAGAGCAAACATAAATAAATCTATTACTCATAAAACCCTCCCTTACTCCAGTATGGGATTAAATCTAGATTATCTCAACTAAAAAGTCAAGATGATTATGTTTCAAATGGAAAATACAACAGCATGATAAAACATCCCTTTCTTTTTTTACCCTCAAAATTAGGCTATAGTCTGAAAGGAGTGATATGGTCATTGTGAGAATAAATACCGTTAAAAGACGGAGCATTGACATTTTACTATTACACAGTTCAAACATCTGTAGAAATCTTCACATGAAGCAAACTTTTGAAATGTACTGAATGAACCATACTCCAAATCAAAAGGCAAATAACAAATGGGAGAATGCATGCAACATATGTGACAAAGATTAATTTCCTTTGTATATTAAGAGCTCCTAAAAATCAATAAATTTTAAAAATCCAGTAGGAAAATAGGTAAAGGACATGGATAGACAATATACAGAAAGGAAAAGACAAATAGATTCTAAACATATGAAAAGATACTCAATACTTCTCGTAAAAGAAATGAACATTAAAAATACAATGAGATAAAACTTGCAACTTGTCAGATTGACAGGAATCAAAAAGTTTGGTGACACTTTATCAGAGAATGGTAACTTATAGGGTCAACTTACAGGGAGATATGAGTGGTAAAAATGCTATTTTGAATTTCTTTCTTTACAACTATAAGAAGAAAATTAGCAAATAATGTAGTTGCCAGTTTTATTTAATACTTTACATACTTGAATAGCTGGTTAAAAAGCAAATGTTCATCAATTTGTTTAGAGTTGCACAAAAGGATATATAGGGAAAGAAATAGTATGTTTGCCAAATTCATATGGATGTGGGGCCAACTTCATCAAACCTAAAACAAATTCTGTCTTTGGAACCTGAGGTTTTAAAAATAGCAGTTAGAATTAATACTGTTCTTGGATTCATGGTTCAAATTAGTCATCGTGTTTTCTTGATGCTGTAAATTTAACCACATATTGGTAGAAACATGTAACTTCTCACATAGAGTAGACATCCAGAGACAAATTTGTGCATATAAAGTAAAATTAAAATGAATACATTCAGTATTAAATTACTGAACTGTGTAACATACACAAATTTGTTAACAACTTTCCAGAAAGAACAAAACAACAGTATTAATAAAGAGTGGTCTTTTTCATCATTCTCAAGAATTCTTCCTCATTTATTTCTCCATCCCCATCATGATCAGCTTCATCAAGCATTTCCTGTAAAACAAAATATAAATGATATATGAAATGTATTTAAAATGAATAATGATATAAATGAATATTCAAGTACATACTCAAAACCAAATTTTGTTTTAAGTGTATTAGTATAACTAAAGTTAGAATACAATTATAATCATAATATATAAAATTTATAATTATATATAATTATAAAAATAAGCAAAATTTACCTGAAGTTCACCATCTGTTAAATTTTCCCCTAGTTCCTTAGCAACCCTCTTGATATTGTTTAGTGTTATGCTTCCAGTATCATCATCATCAAATAATTTGAAAGTCTTCAATATCTCTTCTTTTTCATCTTTTTCACTCTTTAAAAAAGGAAACAACTATCATTAGTCCTTCATTTATTTATTCTATCAAGCTGGACTTATTAGATGTTTGAGGTCTACAGCAGCAATGTGTCGGGTAGCTGAGTTCTGACTTTATTTATTGTTCTGACTTTTAATAATTAGTCCAATGTACTCACATCTGTCCTTAAGGTATTTAAACACAGAGTTTATTGAAGTGAGAGGCACAAGGTGGTAAAGAGAATGCATCTCTTATTAATCATAGTAATCCAGATCCATTACCAAAACCGTAAGCTCCAAGAGAACAAGAAGGTTGTCTCATTCAATACTCCTTAGAACAGTAATAGTACCTGGCAAAAACAGGTGCTCAGAGTATGTTTACTGAATTCAAGGCTTCAAAATTCTTTCTATCCTGCCATATATCCTCATTTCCTGACAAAAACCTCTTCTCCACATGGGGCAGTCTTTTCACTAACACTCTGAAAACATCTTTAATCTTGCTTTTCCTATCTAAATCCCACTCATCCTTAAAAACCTAGTTCCAATTCTTCCTCTGTGAAACCTCTGATTGCTCCAGCCCGAAGAGGTAGAAAGCTATATTGCTTGTATTTCTTTGAAAAGTAAAATCACAACTATACCATTTTTACACTCATAATGGCAAAAAAATCTTCAAAATTAATGGTGCCAGTTCCTTCTTTGTCGATTTCAGCTATCATTTTTTTAATTTCTTCTTTCTTTGGTACAAATCCTAAGGCCTGCATTGCAATCTGAAATAGGAAGGAAATAAATTATAATATGCCATGATCTCATTCCAAGCTTTTAAATTATCAATTAATAGCTTCTCTCTTTTGTACCATGGAGTGGGCATAAACATGGAAAATCAGGTCAGCAGGCCTAGTTTCAATCCTACTGTGCCATAGAATATATCAGTGTTACAACTGGGGCTTTGGCCTACTCATTTATAAAACACAATTAAAATGCTTAACGCGGTATTATTTTGTTAATGCAAGGCAGGTTTATGCACTGAAGAGACTTTATATCAAGTTTTCAGAAGACTACTATTAAAAGTCTAAAGATTGCCACAAATAAATAGTTTTTTAAATGTTTTAGAATTAGATATAATTTGAGAACCTTCAATTCTTTCACATCTATGGTTCCAGACCCATCAACATCAAATAAATCAAAGGCCTCTTTAATTTCTTGTTTTTGGGTTTCATTCAATTCAATTTTTCCTGTTCTTTTCTTCCATTGCTCTGAATTTGGGCAGTGGTTGGATGCCTGTAATAAAGACGTGTCGGTGAATGATAAACTATATAACTGGAAACTTCAGCAGAACCAGAATAACTGATGATAAACTAAGTAAATCTAATAAACACATTAAAGTATCCATTTTCTATTATATAATGAACCTAAACAATTTTCCCTTTGCCAACATTTGTGTTTTTGGTTATTAATATTTTGATGGAAAGCCTAGTTTTCTTTTTTTACCACTTAGATTTTTCTTTAAAATTAGTGTCTTTGAGAGGGAAAAGAGGCAAAGGAAAGCATGCCAGACCAGTGAATGGTGTTATGTCAGAATGCAATTAACCTTACTTGGTGTGTCTAAAAAGCAGTCGTTTAAGGAAAATTTACTTTCATAAATACCTACATGTCTCATAATAAAATTTGTTTACTTTGTGGGATATGCTTGATTAGAACATAGTATTCTTTTCCACTTTCTAGCATGCTGTCCTGTACTACAGAAGCTGAGAAGTGGAAAACTACTCCAGGGATCTGGAGTTTCCCCTCGGGTTCTGCTGCAGCCCTATGTCGGTCTCTGGTCTTCAGCTTTGGGTTAAGAAGCAGTGGTGGGGAGGTAGCAACTGGACTCCTTGTTCCTGTGGATCTAAACGGCAGCCTTGCGTATGTTACGTGTGGATTCTCGATCCGTGGACCGCACGTACACTGGTACGGTCTTCAGCTCCATAGCTCCAGGGCACCTCCTGAACCCTCACCCTCCCAGCAGGGCCAGAGCGAGCAGCCGCCCCGGCCAGCCAGCGTCTCAGAGCCCGCCTACAGTCCGCTCCCGCATTCAGTCCCTTTCCGGCTGAAGAGCGGTTTCTGCTCCCAACACTGAACTATCGTAGGCTGCTGGCATTAGCGGTTGATGGGGTTGATGAGGGGAAAAAATGAATTGGGGAGACGCTCTTCTGTCCCTAGAGTCACGGACAACGCGCTTGTATTTGGTGACACGAGGAGGGGTTACTAATGACACCCGAGGATCACGAAAACGAAGCTAATAATACATTTCATTAACTAAACAAAATCTCCTCTTTGCTGTAGGGAAAAACTTCACAGAAGATTACAACTTGACACTCACCATGTACCCAACCGGCGCCCTCAAGCCCGGACCTCCCGGCCCCACCCACTAGCCCGCCGCGCCGCCCAACCGTAGTCTACACAGCTCGCCAGGGGTTGCTAAGGCCGCGCTCACGGACCTCTCACAGCTCCGCCCACCCAAGCCCTACATGATTGACAGACACTCCACCCAATGGAAAGAAAAATACCCTTGAGGCCAGCCCCCTCTCTCTGCTCTCTACCAATAGAGTGGTGTTCCTGCCTTTCCCAGCCCATCGTTAAGCGGAACTTTTCTCTCTAGCTGCGTTTCTTAGCGACCAGGCCTCCAGCTCCAGCAGAGCTGCACCCTTCACACATGCGCAAACTGCGGACGGGAGACAGAGGGCGCCTTTGCCCTGGCGTTTTGGCGTCCGTGTCCCAGCCAGAAGGTACGTCTGGCGGGAAGGGAAGACGGGAACTCTAGACCCCGTGAGAGTGGAGAAAGAAGCGAGGTTAGTAGTGAGGTGCTTCCACTGACTGCTGAGTCTTTGGTGAAGATGCGGGGAGCCCCTGTTTGCTTTCCTGACCCCATTGGGCCGAGACAAGGGTGAGATTTTGGGGTCTGGTGGGCCTGGGGTGAATTGGTCTAGCATCCGGCTGGGAGCTTGGCCTTTAGCTATTTCCCTCCTCCCTGGTTCGGGCAGGGTTTCTGGCATGGTAGGCACCAAAATTTCTGTATAGGAGGGGCATGGGCCAGCGGCGTGGTTGGAGGGAAGTGGATATGGGGTAGGATGGGTCTTGGGATGCACCTGAAGCTTCACTGCATAGGAAAGTTTTTATTAATGCATATGTTGTATGTAGTGTTTGTTTGCAGGGTAGGACTTTGGCCCCACCCATAATCACTATCGGACACCTCCACACACACAGGCCCCCAGCCATTCCCTTGGCTGAAGAATCCTAAGATTTGGCCAGTTGTCCAACCTTATCAAGCTTAAATCTGCACTCTTGAGTCAGACACAGGTAGCCTGATTAGCCAATTAACTCAGTAACGCTGTAGATTAAATTTAGACGCCCGTGTAACTGCTGTAAACAAAATCAGACTCTTATCCGGAGGGCCAGACTTGCTGGTTCTGCCCGTTCTGAACCTGACCAGGGATCAGCTTAAAGGATGGAGAAGGACTGAGGTCGGGTGGACCACTGACTTCCTGGTAGGAATGAAGAGATAATAGTCTCTTAAGACATCTAACCTTTAATTGCTCAGACAACCCAACCGCTTTTATGCCTCCTGCAGTGCCTTCTCTAAAGTAAATATTTTCTAAAAATCATACTGGAGTCTCCAACAGTGGATTCAGGAAGAATATTAACTTTTGTCTAGTCTTTTTCCTCCATGAAGGTAGGGCAAGAAAAAATGGGCAAAGTACATTCTTGAAGCAGTCTCCCAAATCACTTTACATGCTTTAGTAAGTAGAAACATGGCACATTTTCCAAAGTTATCAGCCTGTCTTGTTCACGTTATATCCCAGGCCAACACTCAAGCATTGTAATCATTGATAAAAATCTCGTTAGGCTTCTGGAAAATAGGTAAGGTTATCCTAGTGTTAGAAGGGATTTTTCTGTATAAAGTTACCCCAGTGGAAATTGATGCAAATTCAAGATATTTTATGAATTAAGTAAAATGTTAAGTCACTTAACTATAATATATTGATTTTGCAGGCCATTTATCGCACATGGAAAGTTGCTCTTGATCAGTTTCAAGCTCATATACTTCATCTTTAATACTAATATTAAAAGGATTTCTGAGACCCAGAAATTAATAGTGACCAAGTATATACCCAACCTAATCCTAATTTCTGGGATCTCCTGGATCAAGTTTGATCTAATGGCAATTAAAAGGCTGAATAGTATGTTAACCTGTTTTTACATTACTCTATGATTTAGGCTCTTATATTTTGGATATTTACTTCTAGTTAAAATGGTTTTATACTTTTTTTCAAACAAATGTTTACAGTCAGGCATAAAATGGTTTTTTAATGATAGGCTCAGATTCCAATTCCCAGATCTTGGGTAAGATGTACTTAGTCCTGAAACATAACTGTTACTAATCTAATTACACTTTAGAATATTAATAATAATCATCTAGGAAAATATTAAACCCATAGGCACTCTTAAATCTACCAAGTTTATTCAGTTCTTTCTACATGTCATGCACTATGTGAACTACTAGGTGAGTTTGAAAGGAATTGGGTATAGAGTATAAAAGATACGTAAAACCAAGGAATCCTCAGATTATTGGGGGAGATATACAAACATAAATACAGTGTTTTTATTACATGGTGCTAAGCTTTGGCAGCTATGTGTAGAAAATACTTTAGGGACACAGAAAGGAGAGGACTACTCCAACTTGGGGCATTGGAGAAGGAAGAATCAAAAATGTGGCATTTGCTTTGGGTTATGAAAGATATATTGTATTCATGGAGATGAAGAAAAGATAGGATATTCAAATCAGAATATAACTAGTAAAAATAAATTGTATGTTCCAGTATAGCAAAATCATGGGAAAAAGTGGAAGATGAGTCTTATAAATTAGGTTGAGGTTAGATTGTAAGATATATATGTCAAGCTAAGGAGTAAAGACTTTATTTTCTAAAATAAATAAGCCTGGCACAGTTGCACACACCTGTAGTCCCAGCTACTTGGGAGGCTGAAGCAGAAAGATCACTTGAGCCCAGGAGTTTTAGGCCAGCCTGGGCAACATAGTGAGATCCCACCTCAAAAAAAAAAATGTTTTTTGGCAGTGGAGTAATCTGTTTAGGTTTGTACTTTTTCAGAGATAATCTGACAGCCATGTAAAGGAGGAACCCTCTTTGGAAGCAGTTAAAGAGTCTCAACCAAGGGAGTGCCAAATGAGAATCATGGCAACTCCAAAGGTGGTTGAACCTTGCATTCATGTTGAAGAAATACTAACGGTGGCATCTGTTTTCTCTTGTTTGAGTTTTATACTTAAGTTTGGGATGACAAATACGTTGAAAACCATTCATTCATTCACTTACCAAATATTTATTGAGTGCCTGCAATGTGTCAGGCAATATTCTAGGTACTTGGGATACCTCAGTGACTAATATTGCCCTCCTAGAAATTACATTCCAACAGAGAGAGATAAATAATAAATAAATAAGTAAACTATGTATTAATACTATGTTATCAGATGATAAGTGTTACAGAAAAAAGAAAGAACAGATAAAGAGAATCTAGAGTGTAGAGAGAAAAGAAGAATTTTGGGGGTGTTCAGGATAGGCCTCAGTGAAAGAGGGGAAACTTAAGAAAATATTTGAAGGTGATGAGGTAATAGATTTCTTGGAGAAGAGCATTCCAGAAAAAGGGAACAACTAGGGCAGAACACTAAGATAGCGAGCATACCTTGCATGTTCCAGAAACAGAAAGGAGGCCAAAGCAAAGTGGTCAAGGGTTAGAGTAGTAGGAGATAAAGTCAGAAGGGTAAAGGGAGGAGTGCAAATTATTAGGGTGTTATAAGGAGTTTGACTTTCACTCCGAGTGAAATGGGGAGGCTTTGCAAGATTTTGAGCACAAAGTGAAAGGATCTGTCAATGCTTAAAAAGTTTCAGATTTTGGGGTTTTGGATTTAGAATGCTCAACTGTAGTTGTGTTGTGGCCTGCTATTGACCTTAAAATTATATATATATATAACTGTGGTGCTCTTCAGCTTCGAGGATGAATTCAGATGTTACAGAAACAAACTTACCAGTGCTGTGGCCAGTATTAGAAGATAAGCAAAAATCTGAGTTGTTTGCTTTTTGAAACTTGAGATTTAAAAGATTGTGATTAAAAACAAAAATTATCCAAAGAGTCATAAAGTTTAAGAGTTGGAAGGGAAGGTTATAATATAGATTATTATCTATAATCCTAGCTCCAGCACTTTAACAGGGAGCTCACACCTCACAAGGCAGGTAATTTTATTGTAGATAGCTTTTCAATTAGGGAGTGCCTTGTTTAAGAGTTCTTTTTATTGGGCTCTTTATGTCTTTCTCTTGTAACTTTCTATTCGTTTCGTATGTGAATTCTGAAATATTATGCAGAATAAGTCCAATTGCTCTTGAACCTCCCTTTAAGTAGTTCTGTTTGGTTTTTTAAATAATCTATTCAATGACCAAATTCATCCTTTCCCCTCCATTTCTCTTCCACATTTCTCACCTAGATAACTATAGAAGATTCTTAACTGGCGTTTCCACTTCCGGTCTGGCACTCATCTAGTCAGTCCCCTACAGTGTTATCAGAGTGGTCATATATCCAAAACAGCATTATGATTATCATTATTATTATTGTAAAACAAACACTTTGTAAAACACTGTGCACTGTTTTAAGTGCTGTGCTCACTTCTTGTTATAACTCTATGAAATAGATCCTATTATTATCCCCACTTTTCAGATGTGCAAACTGAGGGGCAGAGTAGGTAAATAACTTGCTGACTACACAGCTAGTTAGCAGTAGAGCTAAGGTCAAACCCAGACTTCTACATTCAGGAGTACCTGCTTTTAAACAGTATATCAAGTTGTTTCTTAATGTTTCTTACTTAAAACACTTTAGTAGTTCCCATTACAGGATCAAGTTTAAGCTCCTTAGCATGGCCCATAATGCTCTTTATGATCCAACTCCTTTCCTCCTCTTCCTACTATTCCCTGCTACATATTTTTCCCCATAAAACCAAACTACTTATCTTATCCCTAATACACTGTGTTTTTTCCCATATATGTACATTTACTACCACCTCTTTCAACTTGCTTATTCTTTCCAGTTATTCTCCAAGACTCATTCCAGGAATTGCCTGCTTCTGGAAACATTGCCTATTGTCTTCATGCTCCATTTCCCCTGTTGGAGTGCTTCTCTTCCATGCACACCTACCTTTATCATTAATATTATTATAATACTGTATCATTGCACTGACCACATTTAATGGAAATTATGTATACCTCAAAGGTAAGGACATATTTTTCTGTCTATATAGAATGTATAACCATGAATTACACTGAATAAAGTTCCAAGTTTTTATTCTATTTGCAGCTGATGATTCATGGTGATGGCTTGCAGGGTCATAAACAAAAGAAGGCACATAGGACTTCAACAACTTTCATCATTCGCAGAAACAGGAAGAACTTTCCTAGGCCCAGTAAAATCATCCAAATTTATTATAGATGAAGAATGTCATGAAAGTGTATTAATCAGTTCAACAGTAAGGCTTCTTGAAAATTTGGATTTAACCAGTGCAGTGGGACAACTTCTCAATGAAGCAGTTCAAGCACAAAATAACACATACAGAACTGGAACCAGTACTCTTTTGTTCCTTGTTGGTGCATGGAGCAGTGCAGTTGAAGAATGTCTTCATCTGGGTGTCCCCATTTCCATAATAGTGTCAGTAATGTCAGAAGGTTTGAACTTCTGTAGTGAAGAAGTAGTTTCCCTTCAAGTACCTGTCCACAATATATTTGACCATATGGGCAACACATTTTCTGGACTTGAAACATGTAGTGTCAGTTTGTGTCCTTTTCTACAAGTCCCTTCAGATACTGGTTTGATACAGGAAGAGCATGATCTCAAAGATGTTGCCTCTCAATCTCTGACCATTCACAGTCTTTCTGGGGGACCTGTTAAATCACCTAAATTCTTCAAATATCAGTCTAAGGTTGAAACAGATAAAAACACATCACAAACTCAGAAGAACAGTCTGCTTGCAGATACCTGCTGCAGAAAGTCAATACTAATCCACAGTAGGCATTTTAATAGAAAAGATACTAAAGAATGGATAAGCAAACAGGATGGATTTCTTGAATATGGTACAGCTACTCCCAAAACTTACAGATGTAATGATTTGGTAGAATTGGCAGTAGGCTTGAGTCACGGAGATCACAGCAGCATGAAATTAGTAGAAGAAGCAGTACGGCTGCAATATCAAAATGCATATATGAAACAAGTTAACTGTATGATGCCATTTACGTTTGACATTTCAAAGATCTTCACTTGCTGTCTACCAGGTTTACCTGAAAGTTTTTCTTGTGTTTGTCCAGGATATATCACTGTTGTATCAATATCTAGTACTGCTCTGATTAAGGAATTGCAGAATCAGCCTGTCCAGTTAGTTCTCATAGAGGGTGATCTCACGGAGAATTATCGCCACCTGGGATTTCAAAAGTCTGCAAATATTAAAACAGTATTAGATACCGTGAAGCTTCAAGAAGACAGCTCGGAAGAACTGTGGACAAATCATGTATTACAGGTATTAATCCAGTTCAATGTGAACCTTGTCCTGGTACAAGGAAATGTGTCTGAACACTTAATTGAAAAATGCATACACAATAAGCGGTTGGTAATTGGGTCAGTGAATGGCAGTGCTATGCAGGCTTTTGCAGAGGCTACGGGAGCAGTACAGGTGGCCTACATTACACAAGTGAATAAAGACTGTGTGGGCAATGGGGTCTATGTGACCTTCTGGAGAAGCAATCCTTTGGATGTTGTAGATAGGAACAACAGAATACCAATCTTGTTAAAAACAGAAGGAATTAATTTGGTTACAGCAGTGCTCACTAACCCAGTCACTGCACAGATGCAAGCCAAAGAAGACAGGTTCTGGAGTTGTGCCTATCGTTTGTATTATGCTCTGAAAGAGGAAAAGGTGTTTCTTGGAGGCGGTGCAGTTGAATTTTTGTGTCTTAGTCATCTTCAAATTCTTGTGGAGCAATATCTGAAAAAAGGAAACCATGCTTCTTCGGGGCAGCTTCATAATACCTCCTCTTGGCTGGCTCCATCTCTGGCTATATACAGACCAACTGTGCTTAAATTCCTGGCAAATGGATGGCAGAAATACCTTTCAACTCTCATGTATAACACTGCCAATTACTCATCAGAATTTGAAGCCAACACGTTCATTCAACATCATCTACAAAATGCTACAGAGTCTGGCTCTCCTTCATCATACATCTTGAATGAATATAGTAAAATAAATAGTGGAATTTTTACTTCAGGCATTTCAGATAAACTGGAGCAGATTCCAAGAGTTTATGACATTGTTACACCAAAGATTGAGGCATGGCGCCGAGCATTGGATTTAGTACTGATAGTACTTCAGACAGACAGTGAAATTATTACTGGACTTGGACACACACAGATAAATTCACAGACATCAGAAGGTTTTTTATTTTTGTAGTATTGTTGACTGAGTCTTTGGAAAACAATTTCTTGTACTATATCATGGTAATAAATTTACTAATAGCCAAATCATGGTGCCTCAAATGCTAGCTGTTACTAAGAAGGGTCTGAGATTTTACCTTACTTAAAGCTAACAAGTTAGCCTGTTACTGTTTCATGAGGTGCTACAGAATATACAAGACACCTAGGTCTGAGACAAAGGACTTTTATTATTCACAGCAAAAGCTGTAGCCAGAGCTTCATGTTGGTTTTATTCAGTTCCTCATTTCTCTGGGTCCCCCAGAAGTAACACAAAAGGCCAGTGGTGGAAGCCTGCACACAGTGGATTGTGCTGTAGGAGAGGAACACTGCGCTTGGGATGGGCACTACTTTTTTTTTTTTTTTGAGACAGAGTCTCATTCTGTTGCCCAGGCTAGAGTGAGTGCTGTGGCATCAGCCTAGCTCACAGCAACCTCAAACTCCTGGGCTCAAGCGATCCTCCTGCCTCAGCCTCCTGAGTAGCTGGGACTACAGGTACGCGCCACCATGCCCGGCTAATTTTTTCTATATATTTTTAGTTGTCCAGATAATTTCTTTCTATTTTTAGTAGAAATGGGGTCTCGCTCTTACTCAGGCTGGTTTCGAACTCCTGAGCTCAAACAATCCATCCGCCTCAGCCTCCCAGAGTGCTAGGATTACAGGCGTGAGCCACTGCACCCGGCCTAGTCACTACTTTTATAGTAAGCAAAGCAATCCTGCTCTTTGTCCAAGGGTAAGATCATACTTAAAAATTGCTTGGTGTAAACACAAGCCTGGAACATGGGCCAGGTAAAGATCAACCAAGTCCCTGCATTCATGGACATGCTTCAGTAAGTATGCAGGGACACTCAGAGCCCGCAGTGGATCACCTCTTCCAACAGTCCACTCCTCACCCTTGTATGTTCTTGGCCAAACTTGAATTTTCACATGACTGTGCCACTCTTATCAGCTACTCTGTTTAATCTGACAATCAGGTTGTTTAGTCAGTACCAAATCCATTCAATTTGTCTTATATAGCAATGAATTAAGGCTACTGTCAATCGACACTGAATAGCAAGATGAAGTCAACTGCAGTATTGACCTCAGTCCTGTCATCCAAGGTCTTAAATTCGATCAGCTGTAAGTTTCAAGGAGGAACCAGTAGGTCTTTTTATTAGGCAGCCAGAATGTAGTCAGAGACCAATTTATTATTTGTTATGACCCATGCGAGGGAGCTTTGACTTGCTGATCTGTGGTGTCAAGGGCAATAATTATGGGGGCAATAGCTGGGCCAAAAAGCAAACTCTGTACCCTATGGAGAGACTTTCCATGGTCCATTTTCCCAACATACAAGCACATAACCCCAAAGGGTCCAGGTTACTCTCGTTCAGATTTGATGTCAAACCTGATTTGAATCACCATTATACAGATTTGATAAAGTCACATAAGTAGTTGCAGACTCAACTGCTGTATGTGGTATAATCCAAGGCCACTCAGACATCAAGAGAAGTATATGATCAGTCAAATTGAAACAAGGCCGTGCTGTTCACATGTGGGAGCTGTACATGGTTTCATGTACTACCTCCAATACTGATAGAGTCTTTTTTTTTTTTTTTTTTTGAGACAGAGTCTCACTCTTGCTCGGGCTAAAGTGAGTGCCGTGGCGTCAGCCTAGCTCACAGCAACCTCAAACTCCTGGGCTCAAGCGATCCTCCTGCCTCAGCCTCCCGAGTAGCTGGGACTACAGGCATGCGCCACCATGCCCGGCTAATTTTTTTTTCTATATATTTTTTTAGTTGTCCAATTAATTTCTTTCTAATTTTAGTAGAGACAGGGTCTCGCTCTTGCTCAGGCTGGTTTCGAACTCCTGAGCTCAAACAATCTGCCCGCCTCGGCCTCCCAGAGAGCTAGGATTACAAGCGTGACCACCGCGCCCGGCCTGATAGAGTCTTAATAAGATGTTGGTTCTCCTTTTTGGTGGTGGGGTCAAAGAAACAGCATTGTTTGTTTCATTACCAGGTGGTTTGAATGCTATAAATCTGTCCAAACGGTCTTAAGAAACCTTATTGGCAAACAGGTCCCCAAATTTTGTGTGGGCTTACTAGCCATTCCTACTGGTAGAGATATGATAATAGCACAGTCAGGACCATTGGAAGTGGCTTTTGATTTCAACCACCAGAACATCATCTACAGTTGACCCTTGAACAATGCAGAGGTTAGAGGCACTGACCCCCTGCACTGCTGAAAATCCTCATATAACCTCTGACTCCCCTAAAACTTAACTACTAATAGCCTAACTGTTAACCAGAAGCCTTACCAATATCATAAACAGTCAATTAACACATTTCTTATGTAATATGTGTTATATACTGTATTCTTACAATAAAGCTAGAGAAAAAATGTTATTAAGAAAATCATAAGGAAGAAATTCCGTAACAGAGATATTTATTGTACCAGTTTTCTTTTAAAATGATTACTTAAATGGCCAACCTTTACAAAGGATGACTTTCCTATGTAAAGCATCGACCAATCTAACATTAAAGTCATCCTCTGGAACTTTTCAAAGCCATTAAGTTTAGGGGCAGTTCTTGGCTCACTAGCTCATGCCACTGTTCTACTCTAAAAGGCTCCGTGTAGTGAGGGGAAGGCAATGGGAGCTCAGAGGAGTCCAGGGTCTCTCAGGGTGGCAATGCCTTGATACTGGCATTACATGAAGGGTTTTCAGGATCGTAGCTTTGCAGGCCCCCAAACTGTTTTGTCTGGATAGCAAGAGATAACCAGCAGCAGCAGAACTAACTCCTATTAACCAAGCTCACAGAGAAGATGCTAATTTCATGTTTATATTTGTAACATAACTACCAGATAAACCAGAATATTCATATGAACTGAGCCAAGAATATTCTCTCATGTAGGAAAGTCTCTCTGGGAAGCTAGGAAGATTGTTTGTTGAGGCTGGAATTGAAGCCAAAAGACTCCTCTAATACAACCACTAGTGAGACATCCTCTCTTCAGGAATACCATTAACCAGGAAGGCAAACTCTTTGCTCAGTTCTTCTGTTGTATATTCTTTATTAAGACATTAAGATAATAAGGCACAGCTTTCCTTTTACTCAGTTTTATTTCAGACTTCCCTATGGAGGCTACACCTCATAACCCCTTAAATGATAACAACTTCCTGCTTTAATCTGGGACACATTTTCCCCCCTAAAGTGACATTTTCTAATGACTACATTCACCTATTTCATGATATTTGTTTAACCCCCAAAGCATAATTTTATTTCCTGGAACCAACAGATCATTATCTTCTGTGGACCAACTAAAGGTGTTCCTGCTATGGTTTGAATATTTATCTCCTCCAAAACTCATGTGGAGGAGGTGGAGTCAAGATGGCTGACCAGAGACACCAGCTGCCAGAGCATCTCAATAAGAAGAAGTTTTAGATGAAAGAGAGCAAACAAACAGGCAAACAGAGATTGGGTGTGGATCTGAGGGAAGGGTGCCAGAACCTTCAGGAGACTCCATGAGAAGAAGTTGCAGAGCAGAACAGGAAGAAGCAAGGTATCAGCAGAGATCAACCCCCGAGAGGCTTGGAGTCCAGTAAGAAGGGTAGGTTGGTTTCTCCCTCCCTCACATTTCTGACAGTTGGCAGATTCCCAAGCTGCCAGAGATACTTTCTTCCCCCACAGCAGCCTACTGCTGCCAGCGAGCTGGGAGCCTCTTGTCAACAGGGCACCAGGCTTCCATTCGTCCTGGGATACCTCCTGTCTCCACAGACCTGAGGCACCATATTGCTTTTCTACCCACTGTGCACTTTTGTCCTCCCCAGGGGGCTTCAACTCCTCAGGTTTTGTGTTGCTTGTTCCCACACAGACATTACCCAACTCTGGCCCAGCCACAGGGGTCCAGTGGGTCCTAGGTGATCCGTGTGACTCCAGCGCCTGGACATTCTGGGTGGGCAGCCTCCCAGAGTGAAAGACGGGCACGACCAGAGTGCTAGCTTTCCTCCATCCAGACTCTTTTTCTCCCCTTCCCCTCCCCCACCCACAGCTGCTGAGAGAGACAATTGAGCCCCCACACCAAGGCTTCCACAGAGCGAAGGGCTCAGACCGTTCCTCTTGGGGTCCTGCAGTGGACTGAGAGGGGCTCAGACTGTGAGCTCCCTTCTGCCTGCTGGCCCTCCCTGGTGCGGCTTGCCTGGCAACTCCATCAGACCGGGGCATGCCCTGAGGCAGAGGAACATCAAACCTGCCTGGGCACCCCATGGACAACTTGGGTCCAGCACGATTCTCCCTGCCATGGTCAGGGATTGATCTTCGGGGACCCGGGGACAGGCCCGCAGTCCAGATCCTGTACCTCCAGGTCTTGATCACATTGCTTAGGAGCATGAAGGGGAGATTTGTGAATTAGTCTAGGGAGGTGAGGGAGCCCGCATGGGCAGATTGAGGGGGAGAGTGCAGTGTGGGTCCTAGCTGCAGCATGCTCACAGGGCACCCCTCGTCCCACAGGAGGGCCGTGCTCTCAGTTCAGGCCAGGATCCTGGGCAGGGAACCTCCCGGCCCGCATCACAGTCATGCAGATACTCAGTTGGCTCGAGCTCCTGCCTGGCGGCAGATGCCAGGGAAAACCATGGAGCAGGGAGAGGATGGAGAGGAGTGAGGCCCACTCCATACTACCAGATTATGAATCTCAGGTGGCCACACCTCCACAAGCAGACTTTCTGGGTGGCTGGGGCCATCTCATCCCCTCCTGGTGGCTTTACCGAGAAGCTGGGAGCAGACCTTTGATCCCTGCTAAAACAGATACCTTGCCAGCTTTTGTGGAGCCTCAGGGCAAGCACACCCAACCCAGCCCACCCAGCCACACTCCCCCACCCACCTCAGCTGTGGCAGAGAATAAGGACTCACCTGGAAGTTCCAGGGCCCCACCCACCACCTGGGGCATTTGATTGCTTCTCCTGAGGGACCAGAGCTGGTCACAGGACCCAAAATCAACCTTGCAACTTTTTCCTTCCGGCATGCACTACCTACTGACAGAGAGGTCAGTTTGCACACCCTTTACAACATTTAGTGTCTCA